GAACAATGACACGTCTACCGGAGCTTATGATGTGCCTTGAAACTAAAGTTACAGTTCTGAGCAACTAAAAATAGCTAGATCGTTTCCAAGTTATATATATATATACGCTACTAACCAACCAGTTGATTAGCGATAAGTCTGAAGGCTTGTAGCGCTAAAAACCGGGTTTCGATACCAGTGGTAGGCACAGTACAGATACGCCAATATGTAGCTTTGTGCTAAACACCAACAACAAACGAAAGACTAAGACAGGTTACACGTCACGAACTAATGACGTCATTTATTGGAAATATAATGGTTTGGATGTGTACAAGGAAGATTAACAGAAACCATCCGTTCAAAGAATGACAAGTAGATCCAAAAAGAAGGTGATTCTTCAAGTATACCTTAAAAAACCACTTGAAATAAAACAGTCGACTGTAGAAAGAACAGATCATGTAACTAACTTGTATAAATGAACTACTCATTAGATCGTGTAACTAACTTGTATAAATGAACTACTCATTAGATCGTGTAACTAACTTGTATCAATGAACTACTCATTAGATCGTGTAACTAACTTGTATAAATGAACTACTCATTAGATCGTGTAACTAACTTGTATAAATGAACTACTTATTAGATCGTGTAACTAACTTGTATCAATGAACTACTCATTAGATCGTGTAACTAACTTGTATAAATGAACTACTCATTAGATCGTGTAACTAACTTGTATCAATGAACTACTCATTAGATCGTGTAACTAACTTGTATAAATGAACTACTTATTAGATCGTGTAACTAACTTGTATAAATGAACTACTCTTAGATCGTGTAACTAACTTGTATCAATGAACTAGTTATCAGATCGTGTAACTCACTTGTATCAATGAACTACTCATTAGATCGTGTAACTAACTTGTATCAATGAACTACTCATTAGATCGTGTAACTAACTTGCATAAATGAACTACTTATTAGATCGTGTAACTAACTTGTATAATTGAACTACTCATTAGATCGTGTAACTAACTCTTATAAATGAACTAGTTATCAGATCGTGTAACTAACTTGTATAAATGAACTAGTTATCAGATCGTGTAACTAACTTGTATAAATGAACTAGTTATCAGATCGTGTAACTAACTTGTATAAATGAACATTAATCAGCCAGAAGTCCTGACTCAGGGGTTGTTTTTATTTATATAACTTAACCCCACTACCAAGGTAGGTGGTTGGGTGTGTGGGGCTAAAACGCAGCTCCTTGTGAACTTGATAGTAACTTTTATCAACGTTTGTGTTAGCTCTTTGTCAACGTGAAGCAACTTTTATCACAGGTTGTTTTAGCTCTTTGTCAACGTGTAGTAACTTTTATCAACGTTTGTTTTAGCTCTTTGTCAACGTGAAGCAACTTTTACCAACGTTTGTGTTAGCTCTTTATTAAAGTGTAGTAACTTTTATCAACGTTTGGGTTAGCTCTTTATTAAAGTGTAGTAACTTTAATCAACATTTGTGTTAGCTCTTTGTCAACGTGTAGTAACTTTTATCAACGTTTATGTTAGCTCTTTATTAAAGTG